TAATTTTAAATTTAAATTATATAATATATATGAATGTGAGTTAGAGGATAAAAAACTATTATCTTTTATTATTATGCAATCCAACATAAAATAAATAAAAATAAAAAAAGGGTTTATGACTTGCAATGACCAGCGGCAACCTATCCCAGCCGTCCATTTACCATGTTTACTATGCAATTCTGGATTGCTTATTAATAAACTATACATATTGCACTTGGCCCTTGAGGCCTAGTGGCAATAGCTATCCGGTGCATTCCTCCCTCTTGGGTTAAGTTCGAAACCTGTCCCTTGCAAATATATTCAAAAAAAAAAAAAAAAAAAACTATACATATTATTCACATAAAAAAAACTGTTTTTTTATAATATTAAAAAAAACTGTTTGTGTTATTGATTTTCTTAATAAATAAACTATACTGAATTACTGATTTGTTATTGTTCACAAAAAAAGTAATTTTATGTTTTATTACATGTTAATGTATAGTTTAAATATTAAATTATTAAAATATTTTAATAAATTTTTTTGCATTCATTTATTAATAATAATTAAAAATGTTAATGATTAAACTTATGTTATTAATTATTTATTAAAAAAAGTGTCAATACACTTCGACATAGATTTTTTTAATTATTCTCATAATAAAAAATTAGATTCCATAAAAAAAAAAATATTAGAGAGGGAAAATATAAATTCAAAATAATTTTTATCAAAAATTTATTCCCAAACCCCGCCCTTCCCTCTCCTTAAAAATGTTTATGCTTTGACTCAACCGCAGTCATCTGACTCTCTCGAAAACAGAGGCCGTCGTCTTCATTGTCGTCAATTCGTCGCCGGAGAAACCCGCACTGACCTTGTCCTCCTCATTCACTTTCACGTCGATACATGGCACCCGTTAGCCAGCTTCCTTGCGACGGAGGTGGCATCTGCATGATCTGCAAGACAAAGCCATCGCCTGAGGAGTCCCTTACTTGCAAGACATGTACCACTCCGTGGCACGCCACTTGCCTTTCCTCCGATTGTCCCCAAACCCTAGCCGACGCGCTCAGTTGGGAGTGTCCAGACTGCTCGCTTACCAATCCTTTGCAGCCGCCGACGATCGCCGGGAAGGACGGCAGCTCCGGTGACCTTGTCGCTGCGATTCGAGCGATTGAGTCGGACAAATCACTGACTGAGTTGGAAAAGGCCAAAAAGAGACAAGAGCTCGTTAGCGGAGGTGTCCGATCGCCCAATGATGACGGTGAGAACGCGAATCCAAAGAAGGAGAATTTCAACAGTGATAATGATGTGTTTGGTATTCTTGATGGGAGCTTCAACTGTTCGTTTTGCATGCAGTTGCCGGAGAGACCTGTTACGGTTAGTACAATACATTTTTCTTTTGGTGGTTTCAATTCTCCGATGCAAATGCATCTGATTATTGAAAATTTTTATGTATTTTGATCTCAAATGCTTTATAGACAAGTATGATAACAGATATTTTGCATTATTTTTAGCGAATCTGTTGATTTGTTCTTGTGCATACTTTACTGAGGAACACAGAGACACCGATGTTGGCCAATATGCTCATGCTTTTTTCTTTTCTTGTTTTAGACACCATGTGGCCATAACTTTTGCCTGAAGTGCTTCCAGCGATGGGTTGGACAAGGGAAACGTACATGTGCAAATTGCCGCAATGAAATTCCATTGAAGATGGCTAGCCAACCTCGAATTAACTCTGCACTAGTTATTGCCATCCGAATGGCAAAGATGGCTAAATCCAACAATTCAGTGGGTGCACCGAAAGTTTATCACTATGTACAGAATCAGAACAGGCCAGATAAAGCATACACTACAGAGCGAGCAAAGAAAGCTGGGAAGGCTAACGCATGTAGTGGAAAGATTTTTGTAACTGTCCCCCCTGATCATTTTGGGCCAATTCTTGCAGAGAATGATCCCATAAGAAAGCAAGGCGTGTTGGTTGGTGAGACATGGGAGGATAGGATGGAGTGTAGACAGTGGGGTGCACACCTTCCTCACGTGGCAGGGATTGCAGGTCAGTCAGATTATGGTGCACAGTCTGTGGCGCTGTCTGGAGGATATGAAGATGATGAGGACCATGGTGATTGGTTCCTTTACACAGGAAGGTAAGTTATCAGCACTGTTAGTAATGCAACTACTTTGCTCATACCCATGATATTCTTTAATAATCTTTAAATATGAGGTGGACAGTGGAGGAAGGGATCTCAGTGGCAATAAACGCACAAATAAGGCACATTCCTTTGATCAGAGATTTGAGAAGATGAATGAGGCATTGAGAGTAAGTTGCCGGAAGGGATATCCTGTTCGAGTAGTGAGGTAAGTTGTGTTAGTGAAGTTTATGCTAATTCACATGCATGCTGCTCTATCTTTGTGTGTTTAATAAATAAGGCTAATACTGTATTTAAAATCCATTAGAGGGAGTTTTAACCTACATAGATATGCATTTGAATGTTAAAGATCTCACTTTGTCATTCTCCTCTCATAGATCAGGGGACAAAAAAATGGAATTTGAGGTTCCTTGCTTTAGGCCATCAGGACCTATTTTGTGGCAGGCATGATGTAAAATTTTTAATTAAATTCAGCAATGACTGTAGTTCATATTATATATGCTGCAGTCTAGGATATTTGAAATGGTTGAATCTAGGCAATTTGGATTCCTTTTGGAAGCCGATTTGGCCATTTACATGTTCATAGTTGATGAATTTGGATGAACCAAGAGAACATATGTTTTCTGGTAAAGCTGGATAGCTGTGATATATTATAAAACCCAAAATATATCCTAAATGCATCAGTAACTGCTGTTCAAGACTTCTTTATCACTCCCTGATTCCTTGAGCTCCTTCTAGTGATTCTGTCAATTAAGTCTAATGTGTATTGAAATAACCAAATAATGTGCTGCCTGCTCAGTAATCAGAATCAGGAACTCATTAGTCATTGGGTGATTTTCAGTTGATAAATTTTGTCCCGTTTATTGGTCAGGTCTCACAAGGAAAAGCGTTCTTCTTATGCCCCAGAAAAAGGGGTACGCTATGATGGGGTATATAGAATTGAAAAATGTTGGCGTAAAAATGGAAAACAGGTACTGTTATTGCTTGTGATTATATCAGATTCATAGCAATGGGCAACTGCTTTTCATTCTCACAAATTTTGTTATCTCACCGGGTATTCTTGTGTTAGGGTTATAAGGTATGTCGATATCTTTTTGTTAGATGTGACAACGATCCTGCCCCATGGACAAGGTGTATTGCCTTTATCAGTTTCTTTATATCCTTATGCCTGCACATGTGTATTTAAGTTCTTAACTCCTCACATTAATATGCAGTGCTGATGTTGGGGATCGCCCTAGACCTCTGCCAGCTATCAAGGAATTAAAGAATGCAGTTGATATAACTGATAGGAAGGGATCCCCATCCTGGGACTTTGATGTAAGTTATTTCATTTTATGTAAATATGACTGACGGGCAAATGAAATTAATTAGGAAATTAAACAGGACCTGAATTTCAACACTTAAGATGTTCCATTCTCTATCTTAGGAGGAAAAGAGCTGTTGGATGTGGAAGAATCCTCCACCTCATAGTAGAAAACAGATGGGTGGTGGAAACACTGAAGAGGGAAGGAGGAAAATTAGGAAGCAAACCAAGAATTTGTCTACCACAGAAAAGCTCCTCAAAGGTTTTGGTTTTTTATGTTTTATTTTTTAAATAATTTCGATACTTGAGACCTTTATTTTTATTTTTACACACTCAATGCTCTGTTTCTGATCTATTGTGATATCTCATAGCAAAGTGTTTCATGCTTATGGGTGATTGGCAATGCAGAGTTTAGCTGCCAAATCTGTTGGAATGTGATGAATTCACCCCTTACCACCCCCTGTGGTCATAACTTCTGCAAAGCATGTCTGGAAGGTGCCTTTGCAGGTCAGAGTTTCGTTAGAGAGAGGACATGTGAAGGCAGAAGAACTTTACGAGCCCAAAAGAACATTATGAAATGTCCCTCCTGTACAAATGATATAGCTGATTTTCTTCAAAATCCTCAGGTACAGTACACTAATTGTTCTATTTATTACAATGCATTTTCTATGTCTTGAGTGACCATTTCTTTTTCAACATGTTTTTGATTCCAAGTGTTAACTTACAAAGTATGATGAGTTCTTCAAAATTTGATTACTTGTTGATTCCTGATGTTTTCCTATCTCTGTTCAAGTGGATAATTAGAGGAACAAAAATGTTATGGCAGTCTGCTCGCTAAGAAGATTGGTTTGGCTTGTTTGGGCTGCATTTTAGGTTCTCATTTAGCTTGAATATTTTTGTTTGTCCCATAATGACATTTTATAGGTTAATTCTATCAAAACACTTGAACATATCATCATCATAGGCGATTTCAGTCATATCTTAAGCTGCAAAATTTCATTGATTACATTTGTTTCTTGTGGCAGGTTAATAGGGAAATGATGAGTGTAATAGAAACACTGCAGAGCAGAAGTGTTGAGGAGGAACATTTTGAGGAGTCTTGTGAAGAAATTGATTGTGTGCCTGAAGCCATGGATGTATCTGCTAGTGATGCTGAAGTCTGTAACACAGACACCCAAGTTTTTGAAGAAGCCAAAGATATCACCACTGAAAGCAAACAGGAGAAGACACACAATCATGATGGCAATTCAACTACTGGAAATCCATTGCTTGAGCTGCCTGATTCTGTGAAGGGTGAGATTGAAAATGGTTCTATTAGTCAAGTCAGGCAAACTTGTAAGCGGAAAAAGTCTGGCAATGGAGGCAAGAATCCACCATCAATGGCTGTTGGTGTGATGACCAGAAGCCGGAGAGCTAATGATTGTAAGCCTAAAGCCATGGATGTCAGTTGCATTGCTAATGGTACCGAATTATATAAAGACATTCAAATTTTTGAAGAAGCCAAAGTTATCACTGCTGAAAGCAAACAGCAGAAGAGACACAAGCGCAAGAAGGGAAGTGATCATGGTGGCAATCCAACTACCGGTGAGATTGAAAATGATTCTATTAGACTTGGCCCAGGAAAAGATAATGAAGGAGCCCCAACCTCTGCACCTGAGAGTCAAGCAAAGCAAATTCCTAAGCGCAAAAAGTCTGGCAATGGAGGCAAGAATTCACCATCAATAGCTGTTGGCGTGATGACCAGAAGCCGGAAAGCTAAAATGATGACAGCTGAATAAGCTGAGTTAGCATCTGGTATCCTGCTTCATATCTTGTTGCTTGTCACTGTTGTTCAAAAATTGAAAACATGCAACCGTTGCAATGTTGGGGCAGTCCAATGTTTATTTTAGAGGGGTTTATGTTACATAGTAATCCAAATTAGATCCGTTTCCTCTGTTTTTCTAATTAGTCAAAGCCATTGCTTTATTTATTTCATTTTTTGCGATGAGTAATGGCCTGGGTTAACCAGAAAATTTCTCTCAATTCCATCTAAGGTTCATGAACTTTGAATGGATCGTGTTTAAGCCAACAATTTTAAGCCATACAGTAGCCAAATTACTCTTTAAGTAGCTTTTTCTGAGGTCGATCTCGAGCGTGACAAGGTTGTCAAGATTGAGCGCAGTGTTGACATCGATAAAAGCTTGTTAGTGTTTGGAAATGAGAGGTTAGGAAGCAAGTGCTCGTTTGGTTGGAAAACGAATAAAAAGGCAAAATTTTTAAAACGTGATAGCTAGAACCTTACATTGTTACTTCCTGTTAGAAAAACAATGGATACAATACAAGAAATATTCATTCCTAAAGGGCTACGTTTTCTCCAATTTAAGCTTATTGTATAGTTTAATTAAGGAAACAGCTACTAAGGTTGAGGAAAATGAAGTAACTCACCCCAAACACGTTGTAAGAGAATTTTAGTTGGACTTGCACAACAGGGAGGTGCAGAATTGATAGGAACCAAATGGTTAAATGTAAATTTTAATTTTTAAACTTTTAATTTTGAACATTTTTAGTTCCTTAATTATTTTTTGCATTCTTTTGATCTCTAAACTATAAAAAATACATTTTTAAAATTCCTCTATCAATTAGTTTGTTAAATTTATTTAAACATATACAATTTTAGTCCTAAACTTTTAATATATACATACTTTTAGTTCTATAATTCAAGAATTAAAAATGTGCAAATTTAAACAAATTTAACAAACAAACTAACAAAATAACTAAAAAAATACATTTATCATAGTTTAGGGACTAAAAACATAGAAAAAATAGTTAAGGGACAAAATATTCAAAATTAAAAATTCATAGACTAAAATTGGCATTTAATCTAGACAACTTAAAACATGGAGAAATTCATCTGAATTCTGAATATTCCTTTCTTTTCTTTTTTTCTAAACCGTTGCTTGGTTTCTTCTGTGTTAGTATCAACTTTCATTAGATTTTATTTTATCTATTTATTTTTTCGTGACAGGTAAACCCTCTGCGCTGGCCAGGCCGATACTCGCAGTATAATAATCAACTTTATGTCAAAGTGCTTTTAGGGAATCAAAAAATTCTTTCTGCTTAGAAAATTACAAAAAGGATAACACCGTATTTATTTACAGCAACAAGTATTCTCCATGGATATGTAGAGGCCTTAACCATCTAGAAGCAGAATAGTGTGGTGGAAATTACCAGTTGCTAAACATGCTAGATATATAGATTACAATGATAAAATTACCTACCTCAAAATCTCTTACTCTGCTACAATTAACGGAACCAACTGATGAATTCAGCATAGTCCACTTGACTCTGTTTCCTCTTTAGTTAATACTGTCACGATATTTTTGTTCTTCAAGTTTTGCAATCAGAGCTTTCTTTTCAACCTCTGGAAGAGAATTGAACATGAAGATAGACTTGTCACCTATGTCATCCTTGAATTTAAACAAAGAGAGCATCAGAATGTGTTTGCTGTAGTATTCAGTAAAAGCTAACCAACCAGAAGACAATTCCATATTGCAATCAGATCAAGTAGAAACGTAAAAACCAAGAGCTTAGCCAAGTTTGGTACACTAAGTACAAAACCTTGTCTTGAGGTCAAGATCAAGGGTTGAAAACTCTGGAATGGTAAGCAACTAACTGGCAATGTACCAATGAAAGACTGAATTTGTACCTTAATGGGCTGTGTAAACTTCCTTCCAGAAAAAATGACAAAGAGAGCCATCCAAGAACCCAATAAAGTAAGTTTCACTCCGTCATCCATTAAACCAGTCTGCATTGTGAATGAAGTTAAAAAAGGGTTATTTGAAGTAGAGTCTAGAAGCTAAAGATAAAAGTCATGGAGAGTAATTTTGATGATTGTAATACTAATCAGCACCCCTGCATCACCTTAATGGGAAAAGAGGCAGAGGTGTCTACTTCCCCATACCCCAGCCCCAACCTCCTAAACAGAGAGAAATATGAAGGGATAACAAGGAAACTAAAATATAGAAGCATCATCAGCATGGTCCACCTTATCAAATCAACTTTCCACATCAGAGTAAAAAAATCCATTAAATCAAAAATTCAGATAACCTTGGGAATGATTTGTGCCTAGGTACCAAAAACCATACCACCATCACAGGTAGATGCCCTTTGCAAAAATAACATAATCGTGATACTTTTCCATAGTAGATTAGAAAGGTGCTCCTTAGCTTTAATACATCTATATCCAGTTCTTAAATTATTTCTTGACGAAACTTTGTTCTTCAACCTGGGAATGCATTACTATTGACTCTATGGCTAACTGTACAAATTCTTAATCACAAGACTATGTTCATCACTCCAAATAGTCCAGTATGTGTGGTCTAATGTCATTCAATTCCTTGTATGCATTGAACTTTATTCCTCAATATCAAACTTATGTGATTTTTAGTCTGTCTGCCTTGAACGTATATATTCCTAATAACTTAACCAGATCACGTTGTTGACCCCAAACAGAAAGCAAAAGATGGAAATACCAGGTGTCCGAGAAGAACCAAGGGTATAATGAATGTAAGAATACCAGCTTCCAGTTTTCCATAGCAGAGGCCTGTTTGAGTACAAAATATTCAGGTCAAAGGATGCAACCATAAAATGTGACAAATTTTAAGAATGTACTAAGAGATATGGCAGATGTAAGATAACCAAATGCATGTTGAAATATGCAAAATTCTATGTTTATCTAAGTTCATACCAATCAACAATTCCACTAAGAATGGCTAAGAATGTGCTAAATAGAGAAATTTAATCATTTATAATTCCTCAATTGTGGGCCAACATTTTCCTAAAGTATTCTGAGATTGATGTCTGTCCCACATACTTGCCATTCATTAAAAATTAGAGCTCAAGTCATTTCATTGGTCTTTGTTGTGAAGAATAAATCAAACATAGAGGTTAAGCTCTTTTTCATCAACCTTTTCACACTGGGACTAGAATTTAGTAATTAACTCATGCATTTCAACAAATAAAGGTCATTGTAATGTGGGCTTAGCTATGACATACCTTCTTTAAAGACTAGTCCTGTTAATGCAGCAAAAAGTGGACCAACAAACCACACAGCAGTTGGATTAGTGATAACATACTGGACTAGGCCATTCCCAGCTGGTTGAGCAAGGGTTATATGTGTCACCAAAGAACCAAGAACACCAAGTGCCCATAATGCTTGCAGGGTGCGTTTAATCTCAGTTACATAAATGTGAATCAAATATAATGACAGGCCCAACCCACCAACTCCAAGCACATAGAACGCATCAAGATTTTGCTTAATAATCTCACTCAACGAAGAGTCCCCAGCAAGAAAAGCAGCAGAAGAACCAACTATAAATGACGTTGCAGCTGTCACTAAACCTGATCTGTATAAAATAACCTGTCACAAGCAAAACATCACTGTTATACCAACAAGAGATGATAACCTTCACCTTGTCTATACTGATTCTCTCATGATGTGTCAAAAAGTTTGTTAATTCTCCCCATAATGACAGCTATTTAGAGAGGAATATAAAAGATAAGCTTCTGATACGCTTTCTTTACACACAAACAAACTAATAAAACCTTAAGGTAAAAATTTTAAGAATTGGGAGTTGCTATAACCACAGAGTTAGGTTCTTGGAAGGTACAAGAGCCATGGAAGGGATATATATTAATCTGAAAAATTCACCAAATGATAGAGCAATAAAACCAAAGAGCTTTGATTTTCGTTATTCAGTCCGCAAAGAACATGATGGCAATTGTTGATGCTACCATTCCTTTCCATTAAGAGCTCCAACTTACATCAAGATTTTCTTTCGTGCAAACTTGAAGAAATTTTTACTGATTATCTATTACTTTCTCTTAAATACCAACAATTAGAAATCAAATAACAATTCATTTGCCCTAAAATGTTTTTCTCATTCCAAAAAAAATCCAGGAAACTTATTAAAGAATCAAACTTCAGATGCCAATATGCAAACCAGAAAAAAACTTGAATCAAGCGGAATCATCAATCCCACGCAAAAATTCAAATTTAATCCAAGAACTACAACACAGATCAATGAATTCAATTCAAACAATAGTCCAGAAAAAAAGAAATCAATTCAATAGAAAGTGGTACCTCCCGGACGTCCTCAGGCTCGACGGTCCAGGGGCCGTAAACGCCTTGATAGACAGTTCGTTCGAAGGAACCCTGCGAGCTTTCACTCGCAGCTTTGCACCTTATCTTCCCGTTATTAACTCTAACCTTCACCGGTGAAGAGGAATGAAGCTTAGTTCTCCGGCTGTGAAGTGAGGGAAGAGTCACCAGAGCCGTGGATAAGACGCCCGACGCCATTACTAACCAGCTCGCCGCCGATTCCGTTACCGTAATTAATTCTTTAATTTACATTTTTATCATTTTTTTCC